GGGGCGGGAAGGGCGGGCTGAGGCGGCTGAGGGAGCCGAGGGGCGGGCTGAAGGGCCGAGGCGGCTGAGGCATCTGAGCGCGCTCCCCGTTCCACCAGCTTCACGCGCGGGGCGGCAGCGTGAGGGCTGGGGGTGCGTAGGCTGCGGTAGGAGTTCACACCTTGGCAGTCAGCAGGGAATCCACTTGGGAGTTCACATTCCCTCAAAACCAGAGCCAGTCGCTGGCTGGCCGTGGATTCCATGGAAACATCCTCTAATACGTTCGTAGGTCAAGGAAAAATCTGGTTCAGGCAATGGAGGTCTGGTATTAGGCTACTTGGCATTAGCAGACACCGTATTACAGCGCCTCATCTTTCGCTCCCTCCGTGATGCTGTACATTCCACACGTATGTGTTGTGCTCTGTTCCCTTGCTGCGCCTGCTGTCTACTTCCACGGAAAGCAAGGGATCAGCCTGGCATGGCTGTATCCTGGCTGAGCAACACGCTCTCCTGTGGGACAAACGCTACTCACCGGTTCCTCTCGGAGTTTCCAAGTGGTACCGCAGCAGAACTGGGTTCTAACTCACGCTGCGAAGTGGGTCTGCAGTCCGGATTTGACGGCTGGTGGCTATGAACGATCTCCACACTGCTGTGTAACCGTGCACTTGTCTGCTAGGTTTCTGTGGCCAGCATCCGGGCAAAATTCTCTAAATTAGGCAGTTTTGCTCTCTGGAGAAGGCTCGAAGGCTTTTGGTTCCACCGATGCACAGATACATTCCCCGTCCTGCATTTTATACAGCTGTTTTAGCAGTAAGGCTACGGACAGAGCTTTTAAGCACTGTGTGGTGACCGCTTATTTCAAGCATGAGGCTGTAGGACTTGATTTAGTGAGGCAAATCTTATCCTCGTCAGTCATTAGCTGCCTGAGACAGAGCTGGCATGCTGACGTTCACGTGCCTTTCAGAACCCCAACGCCCGGGACTGACGTTCTACACCACGAAGGCAGTTCCACGCGAGGCATCCTGCCCAGTCCCACTCTGCTGCTCAGGACATACTGACACAAGCCCTGCTTTCTTCTACATCAGTTACAAGACAATCCTCCCTTCCCTTTTTCTTAGGAACCTGCTAAAAACTTGCAAACGCTACGAATGCCTTGCAATGGCTCCTATTTCTGCAGTGTTTTATGGTCTTTACCACCTTCTGTCACATTACTGACACGATTTGCATGAGAAGATTTTTACCCTGAAGTCACCCTGTTCCTGCCGCCCCAACCTCACTGGCACTGCTTTTTGTCTGCGACACGGCAGCTTACGGTTAACATCATAGAGAGCAGGGAAACAGCAGAACAGTGAGGACATCAGCTCCAAGGGCAGCACTGGAGCTGCTGGGGAAAGGCACATAACTGCTGTGGAGGAGTCTCTAATGGCCCTTGGGTTTTCCAAATCCTGTGGGGAACAAAGGCTGAACTCGGTCAGCTTAAGCAAGACATTTGAAAGATCCAGTTAATTTATAAAATCAAGTTCACTTGCAAACGAGTTTGTAACCAACTTTCACTGCTCACCGGGTGCCTAGGGCAGCGGCCTCCAGTGAGGAGTGCGCAGCCCAGGGGTGTGCAGAGCTGACCCCTCGCCATGTGTAAAGGCAGTTTTCGAACTTCCACTTACACCTACGAGCTTAAAAAAAGAAAACACAAAGAAATGATGCTTCAATCCGTGGATGCAAAGAATCCACGGATTGAAGATGATAATGCGAGCAGAAGCAAAGAAAAAATGGCAGAGCTGACATTTCATCTCCTGGGGCAAGCTTGTCAGCCCCGGCACAAGGCTGGGCTGGTTTTGGCTGGGCTGGAGTTAACTTTTTCACAGTGGCTGGCATGAGGCTGCACTTTGGGGTTGTGCTGAGAAGAATGCTGATAAGGGACTGATGTTTTCAGTGTGAGGCTGTTTTGGGTTTGTGCTCAGGAGAATGCTGATAACACACTGATGTTTTCAGCTGTTGCCAAGCAATGTTTACAGTAAGCCAAGGACGTTTGCAGTGTCTCCTACTGCCCCTGTGTTCCCAGCTGTTTTGCTACAAGAAGCTGGTGGGTGGCAAGAGGTTGTATCATTTGGCTTCTTTTCCATTATTTTCATATTTACATATTGGTAGTAGTGGGTCATCCTTTTTTAATTTCCATATTTGTGTATGCTGTATAATGTACTTTGTTGGTACACATCCCTAATTTACCAGTTAATATGCAGGTGTTGGGAGTGTGGGCTCAGACTGTTTTTACCATGAGGTGTGTGCCACCCCAAAGCCTGGAGCCCACGGTTATGGGGTTGGGTTTGGTTTTCTCTTGGCACTGCAATTCTTTGGCCAGAACTGGCTCTGGATTGCGAAGTTTTTACTGGCCGAGCCAGCAAGCACTGCTGAAGCGCACCCTTCTTCTGGTGACAGAAAGCCAGAAAAAAGCAGCTGGCTGCTTAACTACTCGCTGCAGCCCTGCGTGCGTGAACGTAGGAAGTCGGCAGGCAGGCAGAGGGCATGAGTTACAAGCTCTTGGTGTGAGAATGAATCCATTGGCATCAGACACTTTCAAATTACTCCCCCTCCCTTGGCTGCTTGGTATCCAAAATACACCTGCAGCATCCCAGGGTTCCCTGCGCTGGGGAATCACACCCGGGGGGCTGTTGGCTCCGGATACACGCGCTGTGCTGCAAGCTGGATACAGAGAGACACTGGTTTCCAAAAAGCCCTGTTTCCCGGCCAGTTACCACTTGCTGTCACACCTCAAACCCACAGCAACGCAGCCTTCAACAAGCCCGTCTAACTACCCGGTGCATGGTCATGAGAGGGGCTTCTGCTACTGACGCTGGGTAGAAGTTTCACAGGGTTTATTCCAAATCCCACGCAGCACGCAGCCAAGATGGAGCCTGTAACTTCCGTGACAGCAAGAGCCTCTTCACTGGTCTGGGAGAGCAAGGGAGAAGTTGAGGAGGACGGGAAGAAAACAGGATAGCGTTCCTAGGGATCTTGGACTGCCCACATCAAAAGTAAACACAGTAAGGACTGACGGGAGGAAAGGGTGCAACTTCACACTCGGGTTGGACAAACTCTGTGTGTGAAGTGAACCGGCTGGGAAAACAGCCCAAATGTCCTATTTAGCCTGCTTAAGAACATGCAATTCCACACCACAATCCTGAATTTGCTTCCGAACATCACACAAAATGAAAAAAGAACAGGGAACAGCTTTCCATGGATGAGACTTCCATATTTATTGTTATTCCATGTGCATAGAAAATGGCAGTGAAGTTCCTTATGCGACAGGCAGGGAATGGGAGGGGGTGGATATACTGGACTGGACTTTGTGCTTCAAAATTACACCTTTTGTTTTTAAAGGTTGTTTTTTCCTTTTAAAATCTGTAACATTTTCTTGGACTTTTTAGTGCATGACGTTTCCGACTGCTCTGCAAACGACACACGGCGTCACGGATGGATGGCACTTGAAACCAACGTGGCATTTCCATATTTACACCAACGCAAGGAATTTACAAGACGTAGTAGCGTACAATCCTGACATTCAGCAACAGCAGCAAACCAGGAGCGTCCATTCCACTCTCTGTACAAACTATTCGAACAAGACTTTTATTCACATAAAAAAATCAGCTTTAATTCGCTCAGAACTACGCACCTTCCAGGTTCATTCCACTCAACTCCCCAACCCTCATCACGTCGCCCACACCCTCATCAGACTACAGGAGCTACAAGTAATTATACCTAACACCTAGACAGAGCACACCCAGCCCCCTCCCGTTCTGCTTCCCGACAACTCCTCACTCAGAAAAAGAAAAAAGTCCTCCTCGTTCCTTCTGGGATCCCACTTCCACACTGCACACCCAGCACAGACGCGCCGTCCCACGTCTCTGCCGTAGGATGAGGAACACGCTGCTGCGTTCTCTGATGCTACACCCAGGAGTCGGGGGACCCCGGGTACTGTTCTGCTCTGTACGAAGATCGTCTGGTGGAATAAAAGTCTACGTAATTTGTGGCTGATTTCAGTCCGTACTGCGCTGCGTAGTCGGAGGCAGCAGGAAAGTGAACTCGGTCATCGAAATACGGGTCTTCGTAGCTATGCGGGGACTGCAAGTACAGTCTGTAGGCATCGTAGTTTTTTCTGTTGGTATCTTCTTGGCTGTAGTACAACTGCTGATGCTGTTGACAGAACGACAGGAAAATCAGCTTCCAAAACAGAACGAGCAGAGAAAACGTTGTTTCTCAAACACATTCTCCAGACCCTCTCCCTGGGATGGTGACTGGTACAGCCTACCAGGGACACAGAACAGGCTTCAGCCCTCCACGAAATGCATGGGAGGGAAACGGCTGCGCCTGCCTGCGTGTCTGCGGCGCTCGCTGGCTCCGCACACGTAGCAGAGCACAGGGGGGACGCACGGAGCGTGGCCATGCCCACCAAAACCAAGTCAGGCCAAGTCAGAAGAGTCATCTCAGACCCCACCATAAGAACACCCCAAACCGTGGACTGTGACAGGAAAAGGCAAGGGCACTGGACGGGCAAGTGCTTATGTCCTCCTCAGTACAGGAACGCCCAACAGCAAACGGACTAAGTTAGAGATACTCGATGTGAACTGGCATCTCACATCGGTGTAAGCTCAAAATGCCTTCAGCTCCGCCAAGCACCCTATGCTGCGCCTGCCATCAGTGCCCTTCCCAAGCAGAGCTCCGGAGTCACCTGCAGTCGTCTGTTCTGTTCTCTTGCTGGTGAGGAATAGGAACTGATGTAAATCGGTGAAGGTTTGCTGGAACCTGCGAGAAAAGAGTTTATGGCACAAACGTCAGTCTCTACGCCTCCGGCTGCTGGCTTACCCAGAAGAAATCGTGTAGCACCCAGACACCCGTGTCTGCAGATTTTAGTAGCTACTACTAACGTAACGTGACGACACAACACAGGCACACCTTGTCATAAAACCCGGAGGCGGTTTTGTGCTGCTGGTTTTTGTTCTACGCACTCGGGGTTTCCCTCTTTTTACTCACTGTCACCTCTCGTTTTGCAGCTTGTGTCAAATAGGAAGATGGAAAAGGGAGCTCAGGGAAAAGATGGAATCCTGGCATCATTTAATAAAATACTCTTCTAATTCACAACTGCACGTTATTGTTTATAACACAGTAATACACAATATGCAAAATAAACCAATTTTCTGTGATAGGTAGGGACAGTTGCCTCCTCGACTGTATCAACTCCTTAGGTACGCCCGTCAGAAGTCCCCTCACGGGTCTCTTACCGGTGTACATGTCTTTGTGTGCGATGACGTCGCCCTGGTTACTGTAATACTGCATAGAAGGCTGGGTTCGGTCGTACTCCGAGCGGGGTTCTCTAATTCCCAACAAAGCCGGTGATGAGGACGTGCTGCCAACTGATGGAAACAGAGCGGTTACCAGAGCACGCAACAGCAGCCCTTCCCATGCCCAACCTCCTCTTTATTCTCTCCTCACCCCAGGATTAACTCACGAGAGCTGTGGGTAAAGGACAAAGCTGTCACATGGTTTTCCTGGATGAAGAACCCCAGGGACAAGCGCTACCAGCAACGTACCACGGGATTACGACTTCATACGTTAATGCGAGTCACTGCTCTGTAAGGCGTACAGCCGAGCTGGAGACCTTCCCCGCGGAAGTGTGCACATCACGCCGACTGTTGGCGCTTAGGTGATGATGCTCCCGCTGTTTGATCTTAGGGAAGTTACACTGAAAAGAATCTCTTCAGCCCATCCTGTCACTTGGGACGGGACAGAGTTCCGTCTGCCTGGCTGGAGCATCCCCGTACACTTGTACGCAGGGCGCACTCGGAGCAGTGCAGGAGTGAACCCTTTGTGCCCCAGCTGGCTGGCAACTACCGTGAGGCTGCAGCGAGGGATGCTCATGGTACGTTCTCACAGTGAGCAGCTGCACCTCTCCTGTGGTTGTAACAAGTTCCCCCTGCTAAACCGTCTCTCTTTACAGAGAACTCCGGTTTTGCTCGCCTGGAGATGCCAGCAACACTGGAGAAACACATCATTTCTAGAAATTCAGCTGCAAAATATTACCCAACGAGAACTTCCTCTGTTGGCCGTGTCACTGCGAACCGAGGGGCTCGTGGAGTTTAAAACCAAGGGATTCCGCGTCCCCCCGCAGCAAACGCCCGCGTGCGCCGACTGACCTGACTGTATGACCGGTGACATCTGCTGATTGGCTGTGGACAAAGAGGGATGCGACTTGAACCTCTCCCGCTCTAGTGTGGACACTGGTGTAATAAAGTGACTTTGATTCCATCCATCCTGTGCAGTGCCAAAACGGAAAACATCACAACGGTAGGTCTGTGCTTAACCAAAGGGCTTTTGTAGAGCCATCCCCCAGCGGGGGCTGATGTTGTGATTTACCTTTTTGTAAATGCTGCGGAGATCCCGGTATTGCCAGAGCGTGTTCAGCACCTGGGCGGCTGCCTTGACGACTTTCAGCGATGATCTGGGGGGGTGGAGCGTATCACAGGATCAGAAAGCCACCCAACCCCACTTACAACCAACAGCACTCTGGAGGCACCCAACCGCCCAGCCCTGTGACACCCGCACTGGCACGGCGCGGCGGCAGCCCCGCCACGGGGCCTGCGGGGCCCGATCACGCACAACAATCCTTCCCCCCCCCAACGTTTCCTCCTCAGGTCCCCCACAGCAGCAATACAGACAGGAGAGGGTGCAACAGCTCCCGTCACTGCCTGCAAGAATGAAAAACCACGGGGAGAACCTTCTGTTTAAGTGCACGGCATAAACACCGAGGCCACGTACTTGAACTCCCTGCACACGACTCCTAACTTACTACAAAACCAGATCCGTTTTTAACGCAACCCCCCGTTTCCCGCATTCTGAAGCGCTTTAAACGGGACAGAGACCCGCTTCGGTATGAACTGGGTTGCCTACTTGCCTGTCGCCTCTCCCTTTGGTTATGTTCACCAGCTTCTCTATTCCGCCGGTGTCCGCGAGGGCCTTGGCGTTCTCCATGTTTTTGCTGGTGACCTCGTGCAGAGCGCAGCAGATCGCTGCTACGGTCTCATCCGACAGTATGCTGGGGCCGTTGCCCCCGGGAAGCCGGTTAACCAGATCCCGCATGGCGTATTTACCTAGAGAGACCCACCAAGAGAACCGAGTGACAACCGCGCTTGGGTAGATTTGACACTACAGGGCTCGTCACAAAACCGTGCCGAAAGCGGCGAGAAATACAGGGTCAAAATTATGGGCACCCTCCAGGAATTCCCATTTTACAGAGTCGAGAGAGACTGGAGATCAATTCCTGCCTTTTTGTCTTTTAGCTCAGCATGGGAAGTTGCACTTTTGCATGGGAATGGGAGCGTCTGTGGACAGGGATGATTCGGAGCCAGCAGGACCAGTCGAGGAAGAGCGCAGCTGTATTTATTGCGACTGGAGCTCTGCACATCCCGAGGCACCAGTTACGGGAGGGTTAAATCCCTACAGTAACCTGGAGTTTCCTTCTTTCAGACACCGTTCACCTTCCTTGTTACCCACAGGAGATCAGATCTCAACTGCTTCAGGTACTGCCTGATGCGCAGGAATAGTCACGCGGAAGCGAAGGACGGGAACTAGATGGTCTTCAGGGTCCCGTCCAACCCAAAGCATCCAACTGCGGCCGAGCTGCGGGCCTGTTCCTGCTTAGGCTGTGCTGCTAATTGAACGGTTAATTGATCTTACTGAAGACACATATTTGTATGTAAGAGCGCCTGAGGAAATGGAAATTATCCAAGAAGGAATTCTGCAAATGAAGGGAACAACCGGCAAGCCCCCACCAGCAGCTCTGCACACAGCTCATCTTTCACACACGCCTGCACGGCCCACTCGATGTGTTGGAGACTGCAACCCCAGTCTCTCAGTCTCCTTGGAGTTCGGACCACGCAATCCCACTATTCCCGCCCCTACCAACAGCATCAAGTCGGATAAAGTAGGTAACAGGCACAGGGTGATTTCTGACCCGCTACATGTCTCCAAGCATTTAATACAGGGATCACTTTCAGGGCATCTGGAAAGCAGATCCCTGTGCCGTAGCCACGGCTCTGACAGGGGGGACACGTGGGGGTGCACTCCCGAACGGAAACGCTCTGCCAGCAGGAGGGAAAGTCCCGAGAAGAGAACACCACCGGAGCATGACCCGTATGTGGCTGGTGCTACGACAGAACTGTCTCTGGGCTGACTTCTGACGGACCCAACACCACACGCTGCAGGGAAACGGGCTGTGACATCCGAGACGGAGAAGGTGCACAAGAAAACCCTGTTCACCTGCAGTTACCGTTAAGAACGGCGACACTCTGCTCTGTGTAAGCACTAGTGACGTACTTATCCCACGCGTCTACAGAACCCAAACTGCTTCTGTAACCGAAATGCAACGCTCTGAGACCGTTACGTGGGTCAGCAGGGCTCATCTAGGCCACGGCAGTCGGGAGCGGAGGGTGAGGCGTGTTCAACACTTGCCGTAACAGACCGAGACTCCTGATCAAGGCAGGAAAACGGGGCTTGGGCTGCTGCTAAATGCCAGCTGAGACAGGGGCAGAGGAATGCTGGACGTATGAAATGCTCAGACTGGCCCAAGGAAGCAGTAAGTTGTTCTGGCAGCCACCCTGGTTGTTACCGAACGCAGCACCCGCGCTGCTCTGCAGCTGGCTGTTCAGGGAACCGTTCTGCTAGCAGAGGATTTCCTCCCTCCCTCCCTGCCCCATACTGCTACCTGATGTACGGCAGGGCTGCCCTGCCCCATAGGGCACGCAAGGGACCTAGAAGCCCGCGAGAATGTTACCCCCCGGCTCCAAGAAGTGGAGCTGTGCTTTCTGCCATGTTTGGACTGACAGGTTCCTGCCCAGCTTAGTTCAGCCAGGGTGATTCCCCTCCCGTGTGAAGAGACCGCCACGCAGAACGGCTGAGGCTGACCGAAACGCCAATCCCGTGGTCAGGGATGCATTTGTGTGCCACAACCGACACGGCGTGGGAAAGGCAAGGCTTCCGGGCGTCGGGTGTGTTGCCGGCACACGGCCCGGCGTCAGTAATCGCGCTTCCGCCACCCAGTCCCGCACTCACCGATAAGCTCCTTGTTACGAACGTCCAAGGCCATGTTCCGCAGGGCTGTCGCCACGGACGAAACCACCCTGTCGTTGTCCATTCTCAGCAGCTCCACAAGGATCGGCAGTCCTTTCTCCTTCCTGACGGCAGCTCGGATGTAGGCTGCGAACTGCAACGGGACCCCAGTTACCCACGGACCTGCAGCGCCCGGGCGGACGCGATCTCCTGCCGGGCGTCGCGCTGCGCCAGGCGACAAGTGAAACGCGGCTCGTTTCTACTGGTAGGAAGGGTGGGCTCTTTGCTGTGTTCCCTCACCCTCCTCACAAGGTGGTCTTGACAGACAAAATGCCCTCACAGACGAGAAAGCACTGAGAAGCAAACAGGTTGCTTTTTGTTGTTTTTAAAGACCAATTTTACGTGATTTCACAATGAAAAAGTCTTTTCTACAGCAAAGGAAGCAATTCACTTTTATTTTAATCTCCACACTAACGAAGTCTTCTCGTGTGGTGCTCCGTAACGCGTCGCATGCACGGCCTCACGCGGGAACGGAGGGAGGGAAGTAACCCGAACAACGAAGCAAACACGCAGTCTGTTCATGCTGGGCCTGCTGTGCCAGTGCCTCCCCAGCACAGCTCCAACCGGAGGCTGCTGGCAGATTATTCTGGCCTCACACGCAGCGGGAGAAGCCCCTGCTGTTTGTTTAAAACAAAAGGTACCATTTCAGTCCCAGTTTCCAGACTGCTCTTCCTGTCTGCCCCCTTCGCCACTGCCCTTCCCCGTGGCACCCTCACCGCAGCACGGGAGCACCAGGGACACACGCCGCAGCAGCGCTCGGACGCGTGCTACAAAACCACGTTCCTTCCAAACACGTTCCAGCCGCGCATTAAACCCTGGCTAAACCACCTGCGCTGGAGGAGGAGCAGGAACGCGCGTACCTTCCAGTTGCCAGCGGAAAGGTTCTGGAGAGATCCTGCAGAGCCCTCTAGAGTAGCTGGATTGGAGCTTTCTGCGAGGAGCGTCAGGTACGGCTTCACCACGGACGGGTGCCAAAGCATTTCCACCCCTTTAGGAGACTTGGAAAATCCTGGTATGGGGCCAACTCCATCCCACTGGAAAATGAACACATAAGCACAGGAAACCTCTGTGTTTTCATTCCACATGGGCTGGTTTTTCCTCAAGCTCCGTACCCCCAGCCTTAGCTGCAGCTGGCGTTGGACACACAAGGAAAACACAAACCTGATCCTCCTGTGAAGTTTTTTTTTTCTTCTTCTTCTTCTTCCCCCAGCAGCTCGGCTCGGAGTCCTTGCCAGGTGATTCCTTTCCTAACAAGTCATCCAGTTCGTTGATGCCCAGCAGGCGCGCCTGCGGCACCTCCAGCTCCAAACGGTAGGACAGGTTTCTCAGGGTACACACGCAATTTTCCACCGTCTGGAACCAAAGCAGAGTGACGCCATGTAGGCAGTTCCCTCCTTATAGAGCGACGGAGCGAAGCACGCAGGGGCCAGAGGTGGCTGAAGCACCGTCACCGCCCTCTAATTCCGGGCCTCAGGCGCTGCTTCGCCTGCTGCTCCGGGCAACCCGCGCTCTCCTCGGATACCCTCCAACATCAACACGTTTGTAACAGAAATCTTGACTACAGTGGCTTACCTTTTAGTATTCTGGCAACGAAACCCTCGCTTACTACTGTTTTATTGGAGAACGAATACTCCGACACCGGGGAAGCGAAAAGCAGAGCGCTGGCTGCGCAGAACGTGACCGCGCGTCAGCGCACGGGGGGGGAGGCGCAGCACAGCAAAGCACGTTGGTGCATGCGCGACACAAACCGCCGCCGGAACACGCACGCACCTTGCTGTCATAATCGGACGTGTTCACGCATGTGTGGATGACATAGAGCAGGGAGTCCACCAGTCCCTCGCAGGACCTCATCTGCTTCCGAGCTTCTTCGCCCGCGGAGCTGAGATTCCTGAAAACGGCAAAGGAGCACGGAGCGTTCCCAGACATGCACAATCGTCCTGTTAGATTGTGACTGACCACGGGAAGGTAAAGGCAGACATGCCACGTGTGCAGCAGCCCACCCCCGCCCTCACACAAGACAAGTAATTTGAACCCTGCAATGTCACCACAGCGCTGGCTCAATGGCAGAACCAGCCCTAAGCAGAACCCCCAGCCCACAGGCTTTTCCATTCCGCGCCCGCTCCGTCGCGCTCTGGTTGGTGTGTGCTGTGGGAGAGGCACCGAGCGGGTCAGAAACACCCTCTGTAGCCTCCCCCAAACTGGATCCCTCCAGTGAGCTGCTCTGTGGTGCAGCCCCCGCAACGCCTGTGGTACCGCTACACAGGCAGACGTACGT